GTGTGTGTGTGTGTGTGTGTGTGTGTGTGTGTGTGTGTGTGTGTGGGTGTGTGGGTGTGTGGGTGTGGGTGTGTGTGTGTGATCCTTTCGATCATCAGAAAACCAAAGGCTGTACATAGTAAAATTTAGAGTTACTGTTTAACTACAAGCTACATGAAAAATTCATAAAGCAAGTGAAACACATACATGGAGCTGAAACTAAAGACACTAATGTTTACTCAAGTTGAACAAACTAACTGTTCTGTTCTTCACATGAAATACTCTCTGTAACTGTTTCACTCTTCTAAGAGCTCAAAACTTCAGGACAACAAACTAACGAAAACACGAGTCATTCTCTGGACTCAAGTCCAACTACATATACATTACACATTATCGTTGCTTAATTAAAAGATGTCTTCAAGCCAAGATTTTACAGTGTGTGGACAACATATAAGCTAATAAATATGTAATCAGTTGACCTTTGTTAAAACATCTCAAAATCTCCTTCATCAAAATTCAACATGGTAAAATCTATGACTAAGTTTCTCTTTGACACATTTTTTCTTAGAGGGGCTTAAAAGTTTTCATAACTTAGTAGTGAAGAGTTCCCAAGAGACTCCACTAAAGGCCTGAAAACACAAGATCATGATTTATCCTATATAAAGGTTCCTCTTGTCACTCCAATAATCAGCTTCTTTAACTGCACATATATTAATTGTAAGCACATTTTGGGGCAAAGGTGTCTGGGGAGTAACTCCCTCTTCATTTGGCTTTTTTGATGCTTTTAGCTGCCGTGAATATGCTCGAGATGATCACTACCTGCTAGCTTCAAGGACAGCAGAAAAGAATGACTGCCTCCTTAAGTTATAAGCTGGTTATGGTGCTTTTCACTCTTTTGCACAATATTAAAGAAACATTTAGAAGAACAAAAACAACATTGTCTCCCTCTCTGCAGATCTTTGGAGTCATCGACGTCCTCAGATCTGGAGACAAAGATGTTTTTCTTTTTTTGCGTTTATATTTTTTTAAGAGCTAATTCCCCCACATGTTCTTTACAGACCACCTCGAGAAAGACCTGCCTTGAAAGACGGCCGACAACAATAGCTTAAATCGCTGAAAAACCTCAATGAAAACAGATCTATTTAGAAAACTTTCCAACTCAAAGCTAACGATTCACGGCGGCAGTGTAATCCTCAAATAATCATTTCAGCTCTTTGAGACACAACACCACGAGCACGTTAGAGTTCACTCAAATAGCGTTTTGACACTTGTCTCTCCTGGATGCTTAGATGTGATCAAATGCAGAGCCCCATATCAAGCTTTGAGTTTAAAAAAGTTGCCATGTCAACTGCTTCAAGAGTTGTGTCCCCTTTTTTGTTTTCTCTCACTTTCTTTCTCTCCAAGTCACAGAGGACATCCTGTTGGGTTAGCTTGGAGGACTTCTGTGTGAGACACCTCTTCTTCTCCATCTTTCTCAGCTTCTGGAGCAAGAATCCCAACCACACTGCCCGGAGAAGCCAGAGGCTTCAGGGGCGCAAGAGGGACAAGATGACACAGTTGTCCTTCTCCCCTCTCCAGCATTGATTGGACCTTCTGTCCCTCCTTGACCTGTCCAAGGTCTCGACTCTCCAACTGTGCAGCTCCAACGATGACAAGCTTTTCTCCCTCGCCATGTCTTCGCATGTGAGCAGCAGTGCCTTCTCTCCTCCACCTGCCTCTCGCTCTGGTCTCTTGCTCTCTTCCTGTCCAGCTCTACTCCCATGTTTTTTGCTCTCACTCTTGTGATTGGTTGGTTTCTCACGGTCTCTCTCCTGTTACTTTCACACAGTGGTGCTTCGGTTGTAGCAGTGGAAAACGGGTATCCATGTTTGTTCTTTTTTGTTATTACCCAGATTAAAATACCGATGAACTAAGCCACACACAGGCCTAGCTCCTTTCCAGCAATCTGTAAGAAAATGACAAACACATTTATTAACCAAAATCTATATAAAGCATTATTTGATCATTTCTAAAACTGTTTGGCCAGTGGTAATGCTTTCTTTCTGAAACTGTAAAAGTAACCTGCAGTAATTCAGCTGCAACAAGTAAAGACAGACTGCTGGAAAACTGAAGCCTCATGTAATTTCATGTAATTTTCAGCAGGAAAACAAATGGGCAGAATATTCCTTTACTTTCTGTGAGTCAGCTGAGTCCGCAGTGGAATTTCTTACAGTCTAGTACTGGGACAGTCCAGTCACACCACCGTGTTGGTAGGCCCGCTCCCCCTGGTAGGTGGAGTCCTGGGACAGAGCCACATCAATTTGGGACTTGAACTCGTCTCCTAGGTAACTGTCCTATAATGGGACAAACAGAGAAAGACCAGTCAACAGTTATTCCCTCACTTATTTCCAGGCAGAAAAAGAAGTAAGTGGCTAAGGACAAGATGAAGTCTTTACTTGAGGAGGAAAACTGGACAAGACGTTGGAATATATGTGCAGACAGCTATGGCACTGCAAAGTAAATGCTGTGAATAAACAGCTAGCCTCTTTAAGTGCAACTAGTTATCAGATCATAAGACCTCTCGAATCCTGAATTTGTATTCAAAATTTCTTTCTAATAAAGTTAAACAAACCTGGGAGAGTTCAGGCTGTGAGAGCCCAGGCTGACTCATCTGTGACGGCTGGCTCATGTTGATGTAGCCCTGCGTCAGAGGACCCTGGGAGAAGGACTGGGAGCCCAGGTCCTGACTGGCCTGGCTGCCGCTCATATGTCCTCCATGCCCACGGTCTGCTCCTCCATTCCCTCCACCATGGTTTCCCATGTTGCCACGGTTTCTTTGACGACCACCTCGAGTCCCGCCTCCACCTCCACTGCCTGCTTTCCCCTTCATACCTCCACCACGACCTGGACGACGATGAAGTTAGGTATCACAGTTTAGACAGGTGTAAGAACAATGCAGCTGGCTCAAAGAGTTGTATCCGTCTCACCTCCTGTGGGCCCATTGACCTGCCCCATGTATCCAGAGGGGGGTATAGGGGGCATCACCAGGTTGAAGGGGATAGGGATGTTCATTGAGGTCATGGGATTGGAGCCTGTGCCAATCATACCGATCTGGTCATGGGTCTGAAAATACATGTTGGACATGCGTCCTGCAGGGGAAAGACGTACATGTTAATTGTACTTAATTTTTGACTGTGTGCAGAGCTTGTATTATCCCATTACAGTGCTCATAGCTCTTGTTTTTGTATTTAAATTCTTTACTAAGAACATTGAATCTGTTCAAAATGAAATCACAAAGTAAATACCTCCTTTATCTATTATAATTGGTAAGAAACTTTGTAACATTTGAGATAAGAATAAGTTTGTTTTCCCAATGTCTCACCGTTGCTGCTGCGGTCATAAACAGATCCAGGAATGAGGGCCTCCCTGGCATCATACATGGCTGTGCTCATAAATCGACCCCCCTGAAAAACAAATACTATTAAGTGTTTTTAGGCCTCAGTTTATTTATTCTTGCCTGTAAACTTATGTTTTCCTTTAACTGCTCACTCTAGGTGCAGAGGTAAGTTTTGACCAAGAAAAAAAGACCTATGCATTCTATATGATTCACACACAGACAAAAACATGTATTAAACTCACAGGGTTGATGGTGTTGACCAGCTTTCGTGGCTTGCTGAACTGCATGAGGCTCTCCCTCAAGTTGTTGAGGGGGCCTTCGACCAGGACCTTCTGCTCCTTGTAGTAGTTCAGCAGGTGGTTCCACAGGGGCTGCTTGGACAGGGCCTTGGGGTTTCCCACAATGATCACACCATACCTACATGACGGAAGCAGATGATGATTAATAACAAAGACCTCAGGATTAAGAGTAAAGTTAGTATCAGTATTTCACTTCATGTTTTGTTACCTGGCTCTGGTGAGTGCCACATTTAGACGTCTGGGATCATTAAGGAAACCGATGCCTTGGTGCTCATTGGCCCTCACACAGGACAGGATGATAAAGTCTTTCTCTCTGCCTTGAAAAGCGTCCACACTGGCTATCTCCACCTCCTACATAGAGATTGAAGAGAAATTAGTGGGACTTAAGGTTCTGGAATTATTTCTGCCTCCTCTTAGTCAAAGCTTAAATAAACAGTTACCCAGGAGATTATCTGGGGCAGACATGTTCACAACAACAACAGGAAAATGTGCAGAACATTCAGGCGGGAGTGGCTCCTTTGTAGAGAATGCAGGAGGAAGGACATAACACATTGTACTCAGAATTTGTTTACAGCACATCTACACTGGTGTCAGCTCTTATCATCAAAAGCTCTGGAATCTAGTTTTCCTTTCAAGTCGACATTTTCTTCAACATCTTTTCTATTCTGACATATTAGTAATCCTTTTATTTTATCAAGGGTTCAGTACGTACAGCGTAAGTAACATCACCGACATCCCCAATCTTTTGCTGTGTTTTTTCTAGGCATTTACCTGTTGTATTCTCACATAAGTTCATGGTTGGACATTTTACTAGAAAAAGTTACGGAAAATGTCCAGAGCAACTGACTCTAACTGTGGTTCTCACATACAGCCCCTCCTGTCTTAAAGCAGCTTCGTTGTATTTCATTTAAAATGGTTGTGATACATTTAACACTTCAATTCAATTTCTCAATTCAGTATTCAAACTGCAAAAAAACCTCACTGTACCTGATAGAGCTTGGTATGGAGGGAGCCACTGAACTGCATGTATTGGACCAGGTATGACCTCTGTCCCTCATACGGAGTAATGATGCCGATCTGATCAGGTTTTGCTCCAGCCTTCAGCAACCTCGTGGTGATTTTCTCCACATTGGCTGCCTCTGTCCTGCATGAACGAGAAGCGTCATATTATGATATTTTATGGACATGAATTATTTGCATTTAGTGGTTTAATGTATATCTTAAACAACTAAGGAACATTTAGTGCCTTTAGTGGCTGCCTGTGTATTAGAGAAATTTAAACATGGTCTCAAACTGACACCTGACTCAAACAGAGAATAAGAACAAGTGATATACCTGTTCAGATATGATGTTCCAGAGCTGGCAATTTCCTCTTGGCCTTGTGTAACGTAAAAGAACATCGGCTTGTCAGGCTGCGGCCACTGAAAGTCAAAGCCTTTCTTCACACGGTCCGCTGAAGGAAAAACAACCAAACACATGTGACTAAATACTGGTGACAAGGATGCACAGCGGAGTACAGTCAATAACATGTTTCTCAAATGAGGAAGTCTGATAACAGGCATATTCTGGAGCTTTGGCAGGAGTTTTGAGGGGCAGTTTACCAGCAGTGACTCCGTTCTGCAGAGAGCCTTCATAGAAGATGTTAGAGGGAAAGGCGCTGAGGGCTGGGTGCATGCGGTACTGGACCTGCAGACGAATTGGTCGGATCCCCAGAACTACCAGACGCTCAAACAGAGACTGGGACAGACCTGCTTTAGCTGCCTTCTTACACATCACCACAGGACCCAGCTGGCAGTGATCACCCACCAAAATCAACTAAGGACAAAACAACAGATGATCATAAAGTTAAGAGGAAAAGTCACAATAAAACCATAGACCTCACAACATCAGCAGATAGCTGATGCCATAGAATGATTCATGTGCATTTTCACTCATGAGTCTCCAACCTGCTTGGCCCCCAGGACGACAGGCACCATGCACTCTGGTTCAGTAGCTTGGGTGCTCTCATCGATCAGGATTGAGCGGAACTGCATCTTAGCCAGACGAGGATCCCCCGCACCAACACAGGTACAACAAATCACATCAGCATTCTGGGAGAGAAAGGGAATAAAGCAGACTTGTTCATGTTTTTAATGGTAAAACTAATACCATGGCATGTTGGATTAGCATAATAATTAGTGGGCACTTGATAGTAACTGTTAAATCTAAGCTGATATACATTGTAGTGTCTATAGCACTGCAAAAACAGGAAATTATATAGGATGGTTTCATCAAGAGCAGTTTTCATACCATAAGCAGCTCCCTCTCAGCGGTACGTCTCAGAGCTCGGTAGCGCTTTTCGTCTGAGGATGACAGCTCACCAGTTTCGTCCTTCAGCTGTTGAAGCTTTTGAAGCTCTGGCATACTGCAGGTTTGAAATAAGAGATCAGTTTTGTGCTTGAGAGCAATGACTAGTATTTGCATTACAAGTATTACTTAAAGGTCTGGAATAAACATAGGCCACCAGTGATGGTATTTGTACTTCCCATGTTTCAGTTTATTAATACACAATATCATCCCAATCTCCAGCCAATGCTTCTCTTTCACTCTCTCAGGGGTTCATGATAACATTTTCCTACTAAAGTTGTAAATTATTATTGGGAGAACTGGTACTTAACTAACCAGTGAAAAGTCTTCTTTAAAAATGATAACTGATACTAGTCAGTTATGTGTTACCTGTCCATGTTGCGGGTCTGGTTGTGCAAAGCCAGGAAGGAGACAGGCGAGTCAATGGCTTCTCTGCTCTTGGCACAGAGCCTCACCACCTTGAGTCCTGTCTGGTGTATCTTCTCTGTCAGCTGGTCAACAGCGATGTTACTGGGAGCACACACCAGCACTGGCCTAAAGAGAGACAGATGACGTGCATGTTTATTTGCCTATGCAGCAGGGAAGTGAGATCTGATCATATGTGATCACTTGAGACACATTCTAATGCCAGGTGTGAACTGAATGATCATAAAAATGTCCACTTGTGACAGGCTGATGTTAACATCAGGTCTGAACTGGGCCGATGCTAAAAAACGTCAAATACTAGAAACAGATGGAAACCATTTACACAGTGTGTGTCTTACCCGTTACCCTGTCGAGCCAGGTGGTAGACAATAGTGGCAGAGGTTACTGTCTTCCCTGTGCCGGGAGGTCCCTGGATCAGACTGAGGGGGCGCTGCAGCACTGTCTTCACAGCATATACCTGTATTACAGCAAAACATAATGATGTGACTGAAAAACGAAGATGTTTAAACTATTAAAAAAAGGTCACTATATATAGTACCAGGGTTTGCCTTGAAATTGCTTTATGAGATATGAGTGACCTTAATCTTAAAACTCTGAATTATCTCCTTCATGTTTGTGTTTTCTGTAATGCAGGTGTGGGCACAGGCAACATTTGTCTGATTATACTTCACCAAAGTATATCAAGGAAAACAATGTGGCTGTTTTATTTAACTTACCTGGGAGTGGTTGAGATCAGGCAGGCCTTGAGCAGTGAAACGTTTGGGCAGCTGACACTTGATGACCACATCTTCTACCTCGTGTCCCAGCAGTTTGTGGTAGATGTAACCAGACACTGAGGTCTCATCCACAGCAAACGTCTTCAGGGCACTCTGCATCCTGGATGATGGAAAGGTGAGAATATTAAGACAGGGGTAGCTGGATTATACAAACAGGACCCCCTCATTGAGTGGAAACATTTTTTTAAATTAGTCAGTCACTAACTAAATCAATGTTTTAGGATGAAGAGAGAGATATTCTTTATATTGTCATATGTTCTGAAATACATTGTCAAGGGACTGTGTCTTTATCAGTTGTGCAAAACCTAAAATATGGAGCAAACTAAATCACTGCATGCTGAAAAGCTACAAACACTAGACTTAATACACTGTTATGAAATGCAAAGACTTCTTGGAAACATTTAGTGATTTTTTTTCTGTGTATATTCATGTATGTATGTATACTTTGACCTCTGCTTTAAACAAGTGGCTGACTAACAATAACCTTTAAACTCTGACATGAAAATATGCATTTCAAACCACAGTGTACTTTCATTTAATAAGAGATCAAGTTGAGTTTTAGGCCTTGCTTAAACAGCAAAATAGTCTGTTGTTATAAATGGTGAATGGCAGGTGTCACAACAAAAAACATCAGTGTGTGTAATTATCTTGTAAATACCTGTCAAAGGAAGTGGACTTCCACACAAAGTCGACCTGGAAGTTGTGTGGGATCTCCACTGGAGCCCCGGCACTGCTTCGTAACTCTATAGCGATCTCATCGCCATAGTCTGATAAAGTAACTCAAGGAAGAGTAATGGCCTTTAAATATACATACTGTATGTACTTATTATTATATTTGTGGTAACTGCTTTGACAATATCAGTATAACTGTTTTTCTTTATTGATGATTTGAGGTCAGATGACCAAAAAGATGCTATCAGTAATATTTTATGCTCTCAGTCACTTCTCTGTTACCTGCTGCAGACTTTTCAAGCTTTATAAAACAGGTAACCTCTCTGCACAGACCTTTGTTTCATCAAAACAAAGGTGAACCTCAGTAATAAATACTAAACTTCAAAGAAATGGGTAAGAAAAGTTTGGTTGAATGAACTGTCTAGATATGCAGCCTCATTTCTTGCTGAATGAACATGTTTAACTGTACAAGAAATCTACAGATTAAATGTACCAAAAAGTACAGAACCAAGTTTGCCAATATTTTTGTAGTTTTCTACAGCTGCCACTAGATGCTACCAAAGACCTATATGTCAGTGTTTGAGACATTTTTCCTAATTTATGATAAATTAAAAGTTAATCAAGAGGCAAACAGATGAATGTGTGAATAACCAGTAAAATGATAGATATAGTTTGTCTATTGTAACAGTCATAAGGATACTATCAGGGACTTTGATGACGTGTCCAATGCCTTTCCATGGAGGAGCCAGGTCTCCTTTGTACCTCAGGCAAATTTCATCTCCCTGCATCAGTCGCATATCTGGAGGGAAGTATACATGAAAACAATCACTTTGTTAAATATGCATCTCGACATAAAGTAAAGGAACCTCAAAAGGCTAGTTTTACTAGTACTCAGGGCTCAGAATGTGTTGACGGTCATTGCATCTGATGTGATCCATCACAAGATGGTCTCTAGTTAATTCTGGATAATTGTATTAGAATAACATGCAAATTTTTACTAAGACAAAGTTCGACAAAGATAAACAACAATTCAGTACCTGAGTCTGTCTTGGGAAGAGTGAAATATGCAATTCTCTTTTTATTCAGTCCCAAGTCCCACCTGACTGTAATGTTGTCTTGAGTCTGTTAAGAAGCAACATTAAAAAATACATTTATTACTTAAACAGAAAACATATTGAGGTTAAATTTATGAAAATTAAAAAATTAATAAGGTTGGATAATTGCTGAAACATTGGTACAATAAAAAAAAACAGTGAATAAACCAAATTACACTACAACTGACACAAGTTGATTAAATTATTATTTAATCAACAAATAATTAATCATTAACTGATATGACAAACACTGAATCCTGTAAATACAATGTTATCATAAAAAGTTTTTGTTTACCTGGGACTCTTTGAGTTTCTTGTCGTAGTCAGCTTCCAGCTTCACTAGAGGACCAAAGATGTTCTGGTATTGATAAGCATCCTCATAGCGGAGCAGGACGTGCTGCGGCTCCTCATCTACACCAGGCTTCTCCAGGTCCTCCAGGGTTGCAGTGGGATTTTCCTGTGAGGAGGAAATGGAGGAACGAGGGAGAGAAGAAAGAAAGGAAGAAAACAAGAGTGAAAAGACAAAGGGAAGGAATGACAGAATGAAGGAATGAAAGAATGAAGGAATGAAAGAACTTTTATACACAGGAAACTACAGATAATAGCAACATAAGAATTGAACTGAACAGTAAGAAACAACTCAGCACACATGCAGTTAATTTACCTGCATCACACTCTACTGTATGTGTATATCTGCTCAACTGCATAGATAAGCCCAACCCATGATGAGATGTAAGTTATGTGGGTTTAGAGTATCTACATAGCAAAATGACGGACGGGTGTGTGCACAGAGAGTTGTATTGACTGTACCTTCCAGAGTTCCTCCAGCTTGTTGATCTGCTGGGCGGTGATCTGACGGGCCCTGAGCTGCTCCTGCTCTGAGGGGATTTTGACCAGCCAGGACAGGAAGCAGCGGTCCTGGATGAGAGGCTGCCACTGTGAGCTGTCCCAGTTGATATCTTTCAGGCTGCTCTGGCTGGCACATGGCTGCCTGTGTAACAACCACAGCAAAAATGTCAAATGTAAATGTGAAACTCTTCAACTGACTCGATCAGCAGGGAAATCAGAGTGCTTAGCCTGCCGCATAAACGTGCCCTCACCTGCACAGTAACACCACGACTGAATCAGCCTTGGCAGGGATGAAGCCCAGCAGGAAGACGTTGCGACAGCCACAGTTGTAACACTCCAGTACCGTTTCCCCTAGAGGTCCATCTTTATGCAGAGTCACCTCCTTGGACTTTGCTCTCACCAGGTGGTTTACAATGTGGCTAAAAGTAAAGAGAGTGATAATTTATGTCCCTGCTGGAGGAAACACTGAAGACTTCAGTCCTATATACAGGCAGGGTGTAAATACTAGCAATTCTTCCATACACCTAAAGCAGGATCAACATATAGAGGAAACACCGAAGCAGCAACGAGTTGAATTATAAAAATGTATAAAGACACAATCATCAGCTAAAATGACTATAAGTGATTATTAATACTTCGAAGAAAAATACTTCTTTATTTTGGACTTTAATTACATATTAGTATTACAGTAAATGTGTACTGTAGTCTTGCTGATAATTTGCTGTATCTTACCTGCCGGATGTGTTTCCACGGCCATTACAGAACCACTTCTTGCTGGTGTTGCAGTAAACCACACAGGCTGGATCATGAATCCCACAGTAACTACAAGACATGTTAGAACATAAAATCTTAAATCTTGAACTCTCAAAACAGACAGACTGAACAGCAGGATATCTCATGTCATAAACACATCATTTATTAATGAAACTAAAATAAAAAGAGAGGCAGTAATTCATCTTGCAGCAGATTTATACCAAAGCAACAGCACATGCACATCTTTTTCACATTTTCAGAAACAAATTTTAAAGAAGTGACTTACAGTAGCTTTGTAGTAATGGAAAGTGCTCAGCAAACATTCAGTGCTGTCAGAATTTAACTTTAAGTGAAAATATGAAAGAAATTTAAACAGTATTTTGCTGATGGGTATCAAAGTTTATATAAAATAATGCTCACTGAGTAAAAGAGAGGGTCTGGTCAGACAAACTCAGCAGGACCTCTGGCCCAGCTAAACTAATATTTAGACTATATTCTAGAGTTTGTTTGTGTAATAGTGTATTAACTGTAATTATGACAACAGCAGCACTGCTTTGCATGACACAACACAAATATTGATTATTTATCATTGACATTAGCTGGATTCAAGATGATCTGATGAATTGGCTCAAGTCTTAATCTATAGAGGGAGTGACCCCCCCACACACTTATGCTTTTGTCTTGTTATTATCTGTATTTTACTCTTTTGGGCAAATATTCCAAAAACTCTTGCTACTCTGAGAAAAAAATAATGGCCAACATGGGCAAAAACCAGCAGATGGAAGCAGAAATATGTAAGCTTTTAGTATGCTCAGTTTGAACAATTTCAGTACGTCTAAAGTGGCATTAATATGAATGCAAAAACTGAAAATATAAATTCAGACATTATGGTCAGCAAAAACACACATGGTCAATGCTCCACAACCCATTGACACTGAGTGTAAAGACAGGGTCTGTATGAAGTCATAACTAGTGAAATCAGAGATAGCTGACAGACACTACTCGCAACAAAAGAAGAAGAAAATAATCACAAGTGACTGTCTGACCCTTTACCTGCAGGCATGGACAGGAAGGTCCTTGGTGTAGTAGGTATCCTCCTCATCTTCCTCAAAGTTCAGCTCTGCTAGCAGCTGACTGGCTTTCACCACAGGGTCGTCTCCATTCTGCAGCACCCCGTCAGGACCATTAACCTGAGGAGACGAGGTGAGGAGAATCAGATATATCAACTGAAACTGTCTGTCAGCTTCATGTGGGATAAACTAATACAAAATACTGGATTGTACAAAGATCAGACAGCCAAACATACAGACAAATGCACCGGTGATCACATTGTTCATGAGAGGTCTGAACTGTCACATGTGTAAACAGTGTGTTGACATATGTCATCGAAGCAGCTGTGTTCACTGACATGTGTGATTGTTGTTGTCACTACACACTGAAGGTAGTTAGCACGTACAAGTGGATTGTGTAGAAGCAGTACTTTTTCATTTCACCACTTGTTTTGTTTTGCAGTAAAGTCCTGAACCTTCACATGCTAGCTGTGCCAATATGCTAACTCTGTTGCTGCGAGCTAGTTAGCCAGCTAGCGTGCTAGCCAATTAGTGGGGATAAAAGCATGGTAACAGATGGAAGGCGTCGCCGTGCTAGCCGGTGGAAGCCTGCCAGCTGGACTGTGAGCTAACGTTCGGCTAGTTCAGTGGAGGACGCTGTTTTTGAAACGCACCTGCCCGTCGAGCTGACTCTGGGTCTGGCCTTGGGTCTGGGTCTGGCTCGGCAGGGTGAAATCGGTGAAGTCGTACTCGGAGCCCTGGGTGTCCGCTCCCAGCAGCTCCGCTTCCTCCGTGTCCAGGAACGTCAGAGTCTGGGAGCTCGGCCCGTACGCCTCCACGCTCATGGTGCTGCTCTTCTAATTCCCCGTAAACCCGCCGGACACTCCACAGGCTGCTGCCGCTGCCGCTGCTCCGGTGGAGGGAACGAATAACGGAGACAGTGTTGATGGAGAAACGACAAACAGTGGCGGTGACTGCGGCTGCGTTCCGTTCGTCTCCCTCCCCGCTCCTCTCCTTTCCTTCCCTCCTTCACTAGCGCTTGTTCCCTACCGGAAGTCACCTGCAAAGGGGCGAGGGAAGGAAAGGAGACAAGGAGACATGTGTGCACAGTTTATTATGTAACAAGGTCACATCTCTCATACTTATACTACTCATATATTTATGCAGTTACCGTGTGAGCGGAGTCAATAGTTGTGAATATTATTTAGAGCTCTTCAGATTTTAATTCATTAATTATTATCAGTTTATTTCACACGATCAAACAACATAGTTTGAATATAAGATGTTAAGAATATGCAAACAGCCACTGATGCTGTATGGTAACACACAACATGTACTTGATAACTATATCATCATAAAAGTGATTATTGGTTTATAGTACATATTAATTATAGGAGCAGATGTATAAGTCAAAGAGAAGAAATGTATCTATAGCTTTTTAAGAAATAGTATTGTGCACAGTATGATAACACATAATAACATGTTATTACATCATCAACTCATAGAACTCATATACTATATTACATACTCATATTTTTGTGCCATTAATGTAGAAGTATGAGAAATATGTATTGTTTCATATTTTAAAAATATTCATTATTCATATCATATAACATTTCAACCCAATAAAATGTGTACAAAACGATATAATTCAATATCACTGATAAATGACAGCACTGTATTAAAACACATCACATAAAGAAACAACATCAAGGTACAATTTTTATCTTTGTACTCATGAGTGGGAATATCTCTGTATATGTTGACATTTTATTGGTTCTTTATGGAGCATTGGCTTTCAAGGTAGTGGAATTAAAATACTTTTATTGAATTCATAAACACATTATTTAGAAAATTGTAAATAGGATTGATTTGAATTGTTATTGATGGCATGATTGTTTTTTTCATTTATTTGGTTTGGTAGTGATATATTAGTTATTTGTCAATGTTTATTCCCTGTCATATATCTTTTACAGTTATTTAAAAAACTCATTATTTTTTAAAGATATGCTTTTATTTTATATTTTTTATAAAGTATTGTTATTTTTATTAGATGTAATCTGGCACTGGCTGTACTGGGTTTGGCACTGGTAGGCTAAGAGAGGTTACAAAATTTATTTATTCCTGTGCCCAAACAGGTTGTATTATTATACTTCAGTTTGAGAATTTTTTACTTCTTTTTCATTCATTCATAGTCAGGTAGAACCTGCTTCTGTCTGTCCTGCACGAATCTGACAGGTCAGAACGAGTTTAGCAGGTCTGTCTAACCACAACATACACACCCATCATAATCCACGCTGCAACTGAATGAAGAACCACACAACAAAACAAAGATACTGTACATTCCAGAGCTGATAAAAGAATTGTAAATGTTTTTGTCAGTGAATAACTGCAGACTTAAAATATACAGGCCTATCAAATCTCAAACAAACACAGGAGAAAAATCACAAATCAAATGTATCTTAAGACAGTATGACTAGAGTCAGGAATTATCATTATACCAAGGTAAAGAGTAATAGGTAAACTGAATTAAGGAACAATAAAATAGTTATAATATAAATGTTTCTCAAATTTGAGGAAGCATCTCAGGAGAATTAAATCTACTTGGAGAACATATGTCTGGTAGGTCACAAACTCACCGGTATGGTTTAAGCAGTAACTTTCCATACTCCTCAGATTTAAACATTAAAATGTCTTTTATTTGCTGACATTATCTCTCCAAGGCATTCTTTACAAAATAAAGAAAATATCAGTGTAATTTCACTGAGACCTAGAGAGTATGTTTATGAGCCATGTTTGCATCAACAATCATCAAATGTTTTTTGATAGTTAAACTAAAATGAAATAGATCAGAAAGTATCCCCATTCATTAAAATGGGAAAGTGGACTTTTAATCTTCCTGATTTGTTTCTGTTTTATTTATGCTCAAATACAGATTTGCAGTGAAGAACAGTTTTTAAATGATACTTTAACAGAAAATTTTTTATTTATTTACTGTTTGTCAGAACCTTTAAACCACAGAAAACCAAATAAATTATTTAGAATATCATGTTTAGGATCAATTTACATCTACTTAAAAAGCATAAATGCTTCTGGAACAGGGAAATATAACATCGGACTAAAGAGTTCAGACCAAGAAAAAGAAAACTAAGTGTGATTTAAGTGTTTTAATTATAAACAGATTTAGGGTGGCTTTGCTTTGTAAAGCTCCACTACACACACAGGACAGACACATCCAGTTAATCGAACTGCAAGCACAGATTGCAAGTGCAAATATTCCCTGAGATTAACAAACGATTATAAGTGTGAATCTTTATATTTCTTCAAGTTCACTTCATTTTGTAGTCATCTCATTTCTCTGGTAAAAAACATAAGCAATAACAGTGAATTACAACATTACTCAAAAATCATACAGGGAGGATTAGGAAAAGTGGAGAACAGTAAGAATTCCCACAGTGTAACATCATAAAACCTATTGTCATAGACACTATCGTATTAGTTGGCTGCTACGGGTGATTATATGTTGTTATAGTAGAAAAGAAATCCCCTTTTTCATGAACACTGGTAAATGATGGTGAGTTTCACAGTCTTTTGGATAATCTGAGGCTGACAAAACAAAAACTCACTGATGCCAACTACTTGTGTCATCAGTGTGTGTAAAATTCACAGCTTGTAAACTTTCTAAGCAGCAAAACCAAATTAAAATGTGCCTTTACATTTATATTGATGAAACCATTACTACAAGCCAGTGGTCCTTCCTGAATGTTGTTAATCTGACTCTGTTCAGGTTGTGAATCACTCATTGGTACTCATGCTGGTGTTGATGCTTGTGATTGCAGTGATCATTGTGTATGTGTGTCTCGTCTTCTGTACAGTCCCTCTCCAGCAGGTTGAGCATCTCCTGTATGATGGCCTGCAGGGCTCGACCCAGGTCCTGGCGGCTGTAGGGTTTCCCTAAAGGAGGCACGTGGACAAAGGCCGAGTGGCCCCGCCCCAGGTACAGAGATCTGTAGTAAGTGTAGTCACACAGATACCTGCCAGGGGCAAAGGATGGTTGTTAAGATTATGTAAAATTTGTGTTATCACATTTCTACTTTATCAAAATCGATGAGTAGCGCAGTGAGAGCCAGAGGGAAATACATGCAGCTTTATTAGAAGCTAAGACATGTGTTTGTCACACCGTCCTGTTTGTTCTGTACGTATTATCTATTGTAGCTTATCTCTGTATTCTGTTATGTAGTAGAAGTCTAAATACAGATCAAGATGAAAAGATTAGTTAAAAAAGAATCTGCCTTTTTTAATTCCACAAAAGATATCTTGACATAAATAATCAAATAATCAATAAACAAATCAATGATGGCTGCATTCCAATCTCGCCACTCTATCTTCAGGGCCCTGATATTGTGGATGTTGGAATCATTGATGCTATTGGTAACAGCAGTGCTTATTCTATCAATATGCAGGATGAATTGAATAGTTCCTCTAAACATGAACTATCCTACATGTTTAAATAAAATCACTGACCTTCCAGCATCTTTCGATACTGACACAGCCACCCCGATGTCAGAGTTGTTGACCCTTTTGCAGACTGTCTCCATGTCCAGCACTGAGCTGATGCAGTCGGGGCCGTCCTCCATGCAGCACTCTGAGGCCGGGCAGAAGCTGCTGTTGTCCGGACGTATGTAGCCCCTGTTGTGGCCGCACTGCTCTAGAGTGACCGTGGTCGCTAATCCAGAAACACCGACATGGACGACTAACTGCTCAGAGGAACGCAAAAGACAGAGGTGGTTGTTGAGGAATTTTCGTATATCCTCACACATTACTGTATATGCCACTATATACTGTGTTATGTATATATAGTGTATATTACATTATATCTGTACACCATTAAGAGAAGAGTGCCTGGCTAATTCCACAGATACTCCCTTGTCTCTCTAAGCAGTACACAAGGTCAGGTTATAGATAAACAGTGTCTACGCTTAGGGACTTTCATATCTAACTCAGATGCCACAGACAGAGAGGCACCAACTTCAACTCTCACCGACTTCAACTCTTTCTGCGTATAACACCAGTATCCAATAGGATGTGAACACCTACATGTAACAGCCATTCATATATGTGCTGTTAGAATGGGTGACACAAGTACATAGAGGAAGATATATGTGGATGCTGGGTGAGACAGCTTCAGACTTGGGGGTGACAATTGCTCACGTTACTGTGTTAGTGTTTGTATATTGTTCCACCTTCTGGTCTCCTTGATGCATCAAGACCACATTAAAATCTTCTGCATAAGACATTAGCTGCTGTCTGAGTTCTCCTTTCACCAGCTTCCAGAAAACGTCCATAACAGTGGTTAAAGTTAGTTAGGGTTTTTTTTTAAATGGTATGTGAGCATCTCGAGTGTTAATGTACAGTGTTGTGCATTCCCTTGAATACCTGTGGTTGGCGCTCTCTCCACAGTGACGGCAGCAGACTCTGAACAGCCTGGTATTCGACAGGCACCTCACACACATGCAGCTCTACAGCCTCACCCAGACCTAATCGCTCCAGCGTCTGTAGGCAAACACACAGTTCACTTTATAAAGCTCCTGACTGCAGCTGCAGACACACACAAAAAACAGAACTCCTTCACCTTTAACAGACACATTAAGATTAAGCTTTTAGCACATGAACAATTAGCAAATGTACAAACACTATGGCTTAGATCAACATACTGTATCATTTAAATAATTTGAAGCCTGTATCAACTTAAACCTTAATACATTTTGTGACTTTCTTTAGAGAAGAAATTTAGCCAAAATCAAATCAGCTCTTTTTTGTGCTGCTCCCATTTCGACCAACACCAAGTGTATTGGGCTCATATCTCTCCAGTTCGTGCCTCCCTTTTTTTTGCTGCCAGTTAAATTTAGGATTGATTTTAAGATTCTTTTAATAACTTTTAAAGCTTGCTAGTAACTTGCTTTTAGCTCCTATCAGTCAAGGGTGGTAACTATGGTGACAGTGCTTTTGCCATCAGGCCCCCGAGGTTCTGGAGCCCCTTCGCCTGAGGACACTTGACACCAATTTACCTGTTTTTAAATCATTACTTAAAATATATTGTATAACTCTTTTACAAAATTTTATTCTTCTTATTATTTTCTGCTTTTGTTCTTTTTCTTATTCTTTGTCCTGTCTTGTTTGGTTCTGTGTCGTTTTATTCCTTTATATTTGGTAAAGCAATTTACAACTTTGTGCAATAGAAATAAAGTTTTATTATTATTGTATAGCATTATAACAGCTAAGTAACAAGTGCAGCTTTACAGACATGATAAGAGATGCAACTCGAAACTGAACATTTGTAAGGCATAAGATAGAAAGAAATTAATCATAAATAAAATAAATGAAAAATATTAAAGTTAGAAATTAAAACGGGGCTTTTTTTCTCAACTATTCTCTAATGTACAGTAAGTCCATTGCATTTTAGAGTTTAAAGGCTTTGACGTAAGAGAGAAATTTATTGTAAATTCACTTTCACATTCAGATGGCGCCAAAGATAAGGAAATCTCTGAAGTGGCACCTTGGTTAAACATTGAAAACCCTGATTACTGATTACCTGCACTGCCACCCAGCTGGAGTTGACTGCATGCTCTCCAAAAGGCTCAAAACCTGCAGGGAACACATGAGTTAAACAAACTATCAACTAAATTCTTTGCTTCAGAGACGGTGCGTGGTGATTAAAAAGTCACAGAGGAAGGTTATCTGTCATGGACAGAAGTGATAAGGTTCAAATTCAATCAATCAATCAAATTTATATAGCACGGTATCACAAGGTTGACTGTATAAAAAAGGGACTCGTTCATTCAAAGTCTAAAGGTTGCATCAGGTTGAACATTAATTGCAGCCGTCAAGCGCATGATACAGAGAAAGGACACGATATGTAGGAAGATTTGTGTTCCGAGAAAAAGGTGAATTTTAGACTTCAGATGCATTTCTTCATGTGTCATTATCACACATCTGTGCAGCTCACACACAAGTAGAAGCCTCTGACATGCAACAGCAGTGTAGTAAACACGAAGAAATCATCAGAGCACCACCGACCTCGCTCCTCTCCTCCTGTCACCAAGCATAACCTCTCACCTGTCACTATAACCTTCTTCTTACTGGCCATGATCCCCAGCTCTCACAACAAACACCGTCATAGGTTTATAATATTTGGGATCAAATGTCTGCACAGGATTGCCTTCGGCTGCCTGCTGCTCTTCTTCCGCTTCACTGCTCACAGGAAATAACACATCAGATCTGGATGGATCACACTGCCACCTACTGTGCAGGCATGTATCTGTCCACGGCAGATCACAGTGAGAAGTCATTGAAGAAGAAGAGGTGTAATTGGGGGTTCTGAGGAGTTGGATCTCTGCAAAAGGGGATGAAAAAAAGTGTTTAAATGTATTTTGATCGAAAGAATATGACTGAAGTTGCACGTGTTTACTGAGAAAATGAAAAGCAATCATCATCATTTGTGGGTTTAATAGGTGTGTGGCTTTACGCGAATCTACAGAGTCAAAAGTAAACAAGGAATCATTTAAATGTTGGATGTATATTTGGCCTCTCTGTGTAAATGATGGCCCCTGAAAAATTCTAGATCCGCCACTGCGGCTTTTATGTGAAGTATTTTGACGTTCTGATGGACACGTGTGTTTCTTTGTTAATCCTGATGAAGCCCAGAAAAAACTGATGGAATAACAGTAACAACAGCCAGTAAACTGCTCCTTCGATGTGACTGCCCCCTCTAACAACAAAAGATCAAAAATCTCCTTTTCGCCACGAGCTGTCACGTTTTTTAAACATACACAAAAACAAGTCTGGACTAAATGTCAATCCAGAGCAGCTGAAGATACAGTGTGTCAATCATGTCATGATAGTTTTGTTATGCTGGTATAATTATTGCTGCGAACCAATTCCTCTATGGAGACAAATAAAGAATCTATCCGTCTTATGAGTGTGCAGCTAAAGTCTATTAAAAACACTGCCTCCTTTCTCTCAATAAGACCAGTTCAGAATCGCTCTAATGAAAGAACATTTAACGCCCACTCCAGCGGCTCCAGTGGAGCTGCTGGTTTAGCTGGGCAGGTGTGAATGTATGCACTGTAATGGTGTGAGTGCGACACAAGGGCGTTCCTGAACATATTAGTTTCTCCCAAGAGAGTAAAAGTCAAGAGGACACTTCTCTGGCCGAGGGAGCAGAAACTGTGTCTTACACAACATCCGGCTCACTAATTACCTGAGTGTGTCAAGGACAAGACTACCTCTCAGTTTGCTTTCATGAAGGCAGAGCTAATCTAATATCATCTCAGAGGAACACTTCTTTTTGTTTTTTCATTCGCGGTGCACTCTGCAGCACACACCCACTGGGTTGCGAAATGACTCACACATTCTGGACTAGGATTCCAATGAGGTTCCAAAGCTGGCATATAGGGGAGATTTTTTTTTCTTTCATGGGAGAATATTAGGTGGTGGTGAATGTTTCCAACAAATGAAACCTTTGTCTTTACAAGAGAGTTTCTGAGGTTACAGCTTCAACAAAGATCTGTGCCTCTGAACCACACCACACACAATATCCCACCTCCACAAACCACCTACACAACCTGCACTGCAGTCGCTCGCAGCCCCCGCCTCGCCTCCCTCAACCCATTCACCTCTCTCCCTCTCTCTTGCCTGCGTCACTGGCTATGTTGGTGTTGCCATGGAAACTAATGATGCCCTCTCGGCTCGGTGGTGCTGATGCAGACGCTCTTGCTGACGTCCTCGCTGTGTATGGGTGGAATAATAATGTTCTACTGTAGTTTCCACCACAGGGCCAGTGTGTTATATACTGCGTACTGCACGTGTAATGGGAATAATAATAATAATTATATCTTTATTTATATAGCACAAAGTTAAAAAGTGCTTTACAAAGTAAATTAAATCAAACTTAAGCATGAGCACGCAGAACAATAATATAAACCATAATCTAAACACAAAAACCAAGGTTAAATCAGAAAAGGCGGTATTATAGCTTAATTGTCATATTCATGATGTCAAGAGAGAGATAACTCTATTATATTCTATTTTATATTCCGGTTTATTCCACTGCTAATTGAATAGTAGGTGACGTTTTAAATGTATATTATTAGTATATTATTATTATATTATTTTAAGTGTGTTGTGGTCATACAGTATTCATGTTGGCGAGAAAGGGATAACTCTATTTCTATTATCTATTTTATTTTCCATTTGATTCTACTGATATTTAAATAGTAGGTAACTTTTTGTATGTGTATTCTTATTTAAAGAGGGTTTGTTGGTCACGCACAATTGCTTGATTATTGGTTATTCATAATCTTTATAATTATCTCTTATCTCATTTTGTGCCTTGCGTTCCATGGCTGGATCCATTGTTATTTTCTGGAACATAATGTACATTGCCCTCTCCCAGCTGACAGCTTTTACTTTCAATCACAGCGAACACACGTTTCCTCATTCCACTGTCAGGGCCTCCTTCTCCTGTGCTCGTTCGATTTCCCCGGAAACCCTTTCAGCTCAAGGCGTTGGTTGTTGTAACACACCTCATTTCAACTCTCTCCCTTGTTCATCTGAAGCTTGGTTGTGATAGTACTGATCCTTAAAGAGCTCAAACCAGAGGTGTTAGTGTTGTAAAGTCTGGTGAGTCTGGCAGTGGACTTTGTACTTCAATCAATAAAATAATCATAGAATCAAATCATAAAATCAAGCTAGAGGCCTGACCTATTCCATTCTATTCTATTCTATTCTTCTTTAAGAGCTAAGCTTGAGGGATATTTTCTATAGGGCCTTCTCCTCTGTTCTCCCTCTCCCTGCCTCTCGCCTCTTACACCTTCCCCGCCCAGTCTCTGCTCTCTTTTGGCGACCCCGAGCTTTTTTATTCTATGACATCAAACCACAATGCATTGCACTGTTTGTAGTTTACCTAGAGTCTCCATGGCAATAAAGACCGGCTCGGCCCCTTATTCAAATTAAACCGGAAACCAACGTCATTTTGGGCCAATCTGCGCGCTCTGGAGTGACATAATGGAATTTTTAGGGCTAGAAAGCGAGCGAGGTCTGGCGCTGCGCATAGCAGTCGTGCCATCGGGAAAAGACAATATCAGCAGCGCGCAGGAGAGATCCGTCAGAGCCCCGGAGCCACAACAACACATGAAGCGATCGAGTGTGTGATATCACTCGGAATAAAGAGGATTTAAAGGAGCAGGGGGTCATTTCAAATAAGGATCAGCTGATTTCCTCATGTTTGGATGCGCCTGGTCAACACTCGTTAATGCGTAACGCTCCACACTCCCTCAAGTGAGGGTGTAGAATGGAAACGACCCTCTACCCAGGCACCGATCACACTCCCAGGGTCTCCGGCAACTACTCCCAGAGCACCATGATGAAGAAGGAAATCAACCTGAACCTGGACCAGAACCCCGAGCACAAATCCAACCCGCTCCGAGACGCAGACGGACTCCTCAACTCACCGGACTTGGGACTCTTGAAGCTGACCTCCCCGGACCTGGAGCGCCTGATCATCCAGTCCAACGGTCTGGTCGCGGCCACTACCAACCCCACGTCCCAGTTCCTCTACCCGAAGTCCGCCAGCGACGAGCAGGAGTTCGCGGAGGGCTTCGTCAAGGCGCTGGAGGATCTACACAAGCAGAACCAGCTGAGCGAGGCGGGCTGCGTCTCCGTGGACAGACTGGAGCTGCTCGCCTCCTCCAACGCGGTGGGTGCCGCCGGGCTCCAGACCTCGGACCTCCCCGTGTACACCACGTTGAACGGCTACGCTGCCAGTCCGCTCGGAGCCACCACCATCAACTACTCCACGGACACCATCCCCTTCCCGCCGCCGCCTTCTCATTTGGCGAGCGCGGCGCAGCAACACGCGGCGGCCGCGGCGGCTCTGTCGCGACTCCAGTCCGCTAGTGGCGTGAAGGACGAGCCTCAGACGGTGCCGGACATGCAGAGCTTCGGGGACAGCCCGCCGCTGTCTCCCATCGACATGGACAACCAGGAGCGCATCAAGGCGGAGAGGAAGAAGCTGCGGAACAGGATAGCCGCCTCCAAGTGCCGCAAGAGAAAACTGGAGCGGATCTCTCGGCTGGAGGACAAGGTCAAGTCCCTGAAAACGCAGAACACCGAGCTGGCGTCCACAGCCAGTGTCCTCAGGGAGCAAGTGGCCCAGCTAAAGCAGAAGGTGATGAACCATGTCAGCAGTGGGTGCCAGCTTTTACCAAACCAGGTCCAGGCTTACTAGATCCCAGCTGTGGTGCTGCTTTTTAACCAGCTCTGTCCTGAGGATAATGAACATCTGCCTTTTGTAACTTAAAATCCTCTTTAAAGACTCCATGTGAGGGACATGTCCCCTGCAGATAGGACGCAGTAACTGAGAGACCTTTGAATTGCATTGTACAGAGATGAGCAGGCCTTGGTGGAAGCTGAGCTGCTAGTCACCTGGAACATGTCAGGTTGAACAGCAGCAGCAGGTATGAGCTGCAGCCTCCTCTCAGACATGATCTGACAGTGTTATGCAGCAAACAGACTTTTGTTGCCCTAATCCTTTATTTTGAGGGGGAAGCCATGTAGCAAAGTGCTATCCAGTGGACTGATGTGCTGTGTAGGATAGCATATATGATATGTGTGTGTAAGCTGGACAATCTCAACAAAGAGTGCAACCAAACACCAGGGTGTCACCAAGTGCTGTCACCCCCTGTGTAATATAATGCCTTACTTGTTTACAAGCACTTAGCAATGACAAATATATATATATTTTATTTACTGAAACATTTCTTATTTTGCATATGGTCTTATCTCCTGTTGCTCATGTATTTTTTTTTGCAAAAAAATGAAAAACACTGCATGTCTTGTCGCTTCTTTGTGTACAGTAACCGTTGTATTTTTATCATTATGGTGGCCGCTGTGTAGTTCTTCAGTCACCAGACTTCCATGAATGTATGTGTACGTGCTGAACAACCATATGTATCCATGTGTAATGGACTTTGAGTCTCTACCTGACATTTATTAAATTCACTACATTACTACAGTTAACGTGTTTTGCTTCTATAACATTTTTAAGGGAATAAATGCATCACTTTAAACATTGCCTACACTGTGGGTGTTGCATTAAAGTGCAGTAGAGAAGCTGAACAAAACCATAGATGGTAAAACTACTCTAAAAGGCAGAAAAAAAGACATTATTGTAGGATCATGCCCTCTGGTGGGCACAATAGAATCTACTCCGAACCATTTCTCAGACATCACGTGCTCTTCTTTTAAAACCCACTGACCTTTGGGAAGAATCGTTGAACCAACACAAAACTCCAGCATTTAGAATTGGTTTATTGATTCCTCATTTATAGCAAATCTGGCATTACAGAATTACAGCACAATTCACACAACTAATACCCGACGGTCAGAAAAAAGTTCTATTTACAGAGGTTACTGATGACAGAGAGAGGAGGACGGGGTTGATGCGTAAGTCATTGCCAAGTTTACAGCTGTAACAAAAAATAACAATGAAAGTAACCAAAAAAAAAAAATCAACAGACAAGTGAACCAATGCAGTAAGAACCGTCACTTTTTTAATAAAATGTTCAGCTTATTCAGTTTACTTCCTAAAGCATTTCCTCTCTTCGAAGCCACTGCTGAGTAGGAAAGCACGAGTTTGTCAGTACGAGTCCAACAATGTGTAACAACAAGCACTCTTTTTGGCTCCGACTGTGTTTGTCGAGACCTCTTTGGAGAGAACAAATATTACCACTGCCTTTATGCAAACTGTACATACACACACCCACGTACTGTGCAGGACAGTAAACCTTCTGCAGGGTTGTACACCGCTCACATTTGGGCGTGGAGAGAACAACTGCTATTGCTCTGCCAGAAACAGTCGGCTCCTATACTAGCAAGTCTCAAATGTTACATAACTAATATCAAAAGACAAACAGACTTCCCTCCAAAGCCTCGTGGACATGATAAAGAGGCTTTTACACTGGAATGTTTAATTTTCCTCATGAGGAAGCATGTCAAGCTTTGTACTTACTGTAAACACAAATATACTCCTTCTCATATCAAAGCTGGAACAGTTTAAGCGATCGAGTACTATTGAACATCTCATTAAGAAGTCAAGTGCAGATAGCGATGCATAATCTAGGAAGAACAATATCTTAAAAATAAATTACGTTATAAATAATACAAAATAAATAAGTTATATTTTGGAATAACTTGAATGTTTCCACATGCCTCAGCACATCTGTGAACGCAAATCCCTAACCTTCACATCAGAGAGAGAAATGAAACTGACAATTTGACATCAAGCGTGCTTTAAAAAAACATGTTCCCTCCAAAACAAAGATGAAAACTGTCTGTGTCTATCTGGGAGGTGATGGAGGTGGCACTCTGTGATGTGCATGGTGACAAGTGAGTGCATGGTGCACACTGGATGTGGTATGAAAGTTAATATACTGAGAAGGGCCTTGGGCTTAGCATGAGAAACTCTTCACCCCCATTTGGTACTGAAAGTGTCGGACAGATGGGTTTTAAATTCAGCCACGACTCACACAAGCATCCAGGCAACCATCACTGGTCAAAAACAAACAACATGCACCTCTCAGTAAAGAGCAGGTAGGAATCCAATATCCTAAATCATTCAGATTTGTATAATATGTTAATTATATTTGTATTTATATTATATATGCATTTACAAATGCACATCTATTCACTTTTAAACATTTATACACTCTTCCCTATGTGATGAAGGTCCCTTATCCTCTTATTGTGTCTTAAAAATAGTAAGAAAAGTAAAAAATAAACAAAAAACTAGAAATTAAAAATCTAGCAGCCCCAGAGGCTATGCAGCTTTTTACATCGGACCAAAACTTGAAAAAGGTTTTAAAAATCTGAGAAGGGGCCCACAATAGATCTGATAACAATGTAACATGACTAACAAACTGATATGCATGACGTTTCTTGCAATCAGCCCTAAAATTAAAAAGTAAACTTTCAAAATGACCCAATTTGGATGTCAGACTTGGACCATAATTCTCAGTAGAAACTCAACACTGGGAAGGACGAGAGATTTCACATGCTCAAAAAAGCAAACCCAACCAACACAAAATACTTTCAATAGAAACATCAACTCTATTTACGGCAACAAACATATATTCTCAATGGGACTTAAAGTTAAATGACGGCAAATTATTTTTTTAATCCATTCGGGTTTGAGGCGTTTGGTGCTAAGTGGGACCTGGAGGAGAATATCTTTCCCTTCATGACCTTTTTAAGTTAAACGCCCATTTCAGACACATCAATAAGGAGTGATGGAGTCTTAGCCTTGTGAACAAGTGTGTGTGTGTGTGTGTGTGTGTGTGTGTGTGTGTGTGTGTGTGTGTGTGTGTGTGTGTGTGTGTGTGTGCATGTGTGTAAACAGGATTGTGAAAACCTTTGTTGAACTTTCTTCACCCCTATGACTAAATTAGCACATTTAATGAACAAAAACCTTCAGACAGCATCTCAGAAAACTTGTTCGGACTCATGTAGACGGTACTCTTCATGTAGTGAGAGGGGTGGAGAATTAAAGCAGCCAGGTTGTGTGACTCTGTATGGCAGTGTTTGTGTGTGTGCTTATAAGAAATGAAGAGAAAGCAAAAGAGAAACTGAAAAAATAAGGTGTGTGTGTGTGTGTGTGTGTGTGTGTGTGTGTGTGTGTGTGTGTGTGTGTTTAGCAAGCACAATCCTGATGGGACCTCTGGGGCTGCTCGCTGAGCTGCGGCCCCTGTTTAGCTCCGGTTACAGTCGGGTCGTTGTTGTCCAGGCTCTCTGCCATCCTCTCACAGATGATGTCCACCAGCCGCTCGAAGGTCTGCTTCACGTTAATGTTGTCTTTGGCGCTGACTTCAAAGTACTCAAAACCTGCCAGGAGGGAGGGACAGACGCAGAAGGAGGGAGGTTATGATTACTCTTATTGTTCCAGTGTGAAGCTTTTCAGTTAATTCACTTATCTCATAATGTCAGGACACATCCCCCATTTCCGATTCATGGAAGTATTTATCAACAAATCATACGTGCTGAAAATGATGGGGTCCTGAAATTGTGTCTAAAGTAAAAATGCTGGAACAGCTCTCAGAGGGCACATACCTCCAACAAGGCTAATGCTTTAACTCACCATATGAGAAAGTCAAAGTCTCAAAAAAAGTCCTGGATCTGCCTGTTTATCCAGATCAGCTTTTATGGATTTCAGATTAGTATTTTTTTGTAATCCTCCTAACAAACAACCCTATGAGTCATAATAATATATAATTCACATGGTAGATGTGGTATCCAGTTTTCTTTCCGAGCAGTTGACTTACCGAGCTGTTCTGACAGCTGCCGGCCTCTCTCTGCAGCCACCACTCGTTCATCTTCCATGTCACACTTGTTCCCCACCAAGAGCACCTGAGCATTGTCCCATGAGTATGTCTTGATCTGAGTCGACCTGTTGGCAGATACAGAACAGGGTGGTCAGCTAATATGGAGCCACTGAAATTAATTCAAACAGTAAGGTTTCAAACAAATCAGATTTAGTACAATTATCCAAACTCCTAACTTGGACCAGTGTATGCTTCCTTCTGGTTTAACTATGACCTGCAGTGCTTTTATTGGGCACACAAACCTGCTTTTTGATAAAGTAAATGATGATTATAATCAACATAATTTAAATGCGTTTTTGTCTTGAAAACAAATTGGTAGATCATTAGATGACATCAACTGGTGTGTCTATCTGACCACACCTGTGGTTCCACTGTGTAACGAGTGTCTCTTCAGCTGCAGGAAATGTGGCACCAACAACATGGAAGCTGAACTAAATTAAATAACTAAGATTGTAGGCTGTTCATTTGCTGCCCTCATACACATGAGACATGCAGACTCAGTTGTCCCTCACCAGTCTTGCACAGCGTTGAAGGATTCCTCGTTGGTGATGTCATACATGAGGATGAAGCCCATGGCTCCCCTGTAATAAGCTGTGGTGATCGTCCTGTAGCGCTCCTGCCCAGCAGTGTCCTACAAAAATGCACATAAACACAGTTTTATTTCATTTAACCGTTACTTTTGAGTATACATGATTTTTTTTGTGGGTCTGTCGTCCCAGGGAACAAGGATGACATGATTTACATGACGGATGGTCTTTGTCATGTCAATGTGGAATTTAAGAAGCCCTGGTAACAACTCAGCAGTGTGAGGGTGTTTTGTCGTCTTTTTGTGTAAATAATCATCACCTGCAAACAATTAACGACTGCACATGTTCCACCCTATGGTTGTCTGGGTTTACCATTCAGCCAAACTCCCATGAGCATTAGGTATTCCTCTGGTGTCGCATGTAATAAGCAATTGGTCCCAGGGTCATGCTTTATGGCTCATGTTAAGTACACTTCAAGGGTATTGTCATTACACACAGATGGAGTGATGCTGGACACTGGAGAGGCCAGTTTAACAGCTGGGAATTATTACACATTAGGGCTGCACGATATTAGGAAAACGTGCCATATGCGATCAAATTGTTGAATATTGCGATGAGGATATGACTTGAGATAAATAAAAAAATGCTTAAGTATACAAGTAAGTAACAGTGTTAAAGGATTTCTGCTTTGGTTTGGGACACAGGGCTCCACAGCCCAAGGGAGAAGGCACACAGCCCGGCCACAGTGCCACCATGTCCTGGGAAGACATGGAGGGAGCCATGCACAGCTCCACTAAGTCCACTTACAGCATTAATGTCGGTTCTTTTCATACATGTTTGGACTTTGAAAATGTGTTTTTTTTTCCAGCTCTGTCAGAGATGTGATGGGGCAACATGGAAAACATGCATTTATATGATGATCTGTAGGTAATAAAAGTATCAAGTTTTTGCAGTCAAACATCTGGTTAAGTTAAAGAAATTGAAACGTAGAGCAGACTGGATTTTCTTATTTTCATATTCAGCTGTCAGACACACCTTAACAGTAATTCTCATAGCAAAGTAAGCCTCCTGAGGGTGTGTCACATCACTGTGTTTTGAAGGAAGGAAAATCTAAATATCAGATAAGACTTTGCAACAGCAGATTGTGAGGAAATACTTACTGTGGCATCTGTAGTAATTAACAATAAAAAAAGATATAATTGATAATAACAAGACAAGTGTATGGCCATAGACCACACACCAACACAGAACACCTGAGTTTAGACTTTACAGTTCTGAACTGTGGTGTTAAATACAAAACATTGATAAAAGAAAAGGCAAAGCAAGGCGAGTTTTGATTCCTTTTACGAATAAGAGTGAGGCACCCTGTCAACCTGCTCTTGGAACCACTGGACCAATCTGTACATGACGCCCTCAACACATCTGTAAATGTGTAAAGCATGTGTCCACTTCCTCACCCAGATCTGCAGCTTTATCCTCTTGTCGTTCCTGTAGATGGTCTTGACCTTGAAGTCGATGCCCACCGTGCTCACGAAGGCTGGTGTGAATGAGTCATCTGCGTAGCGGAAAAGGAAGGACGTCTTTCCAACACTGCTGTTGCCAATGATTAGGATTTTAAACATGTAATCAAAGTTCTGGTCTGAGGACTCCTTCTGTCCATATGTGGCATTTGCAGACGCCATCTATGCAGGGATGGAAATCACACAGCGATCAGTTACAAACAAGATTAAAGAAACAGTATGTTCTTATTTACAGAGGCTGGACCAAATAATACATGATACAATACCACCCACACAAAAAACTGCAGTTGCAAAAATAAAAAGTTGAATCCAATACTGTGACAGTGTCAACATTATATAATGCGGAAAATGACTGTTACTGTTCTGCTTTAGGAGATGTGACAAGTTCTGAGCCTCTTCTAGATGTACACAGCTGATGGATGGTGAAAGAGATTAAAAGATCACATGTCACCACATTCAACAGATATGAAAGATGGAAAGTACTGACAGAGAGAAAAGAAAGATCAAACCACTAGTATCAAATAGAAACATCCTCTGACATGTTTTCACTGACACAGCAGATTTAACATCCTCTGCCTGAGCTACACAGTAAAGTGAACACCTCTGAACTCCACAGGTCTTAAACATCTGTGGACAGAATTACAAGTAATGAGTCAACATCGTGCAGAAAATATTGGCTTCATGTCAGATGGTGACAGGCGAAAGAAAAGTCTGAGGAAAAGACACCACATTCCTTGATCCTACATGGCGTTTGGACTGAAGAACAAATGGGAATATTTTACTTTAATGACAGACAGCAACTATCGAGAGAACCTGGCAGCTGTTTCTTGTTATTCAGTGTTTTAGGTTGGTTTCCTAACATTACATGAAATACATCATGGCAGACATCGAGAGGTCATTAAAAGGAAATCCAGATATAGATCATCCAAATTCTCAATGCAGATGGTGGAAATAAAACATCTAAATTCACAAAAGAAGGGTAATCCATCCTTGTGTTTACCCCTTTGCCAGAGATGAGGTTCAATAGCGTCACTATCTGCTGCTGGCCGAGGTCGGGCCACACTCCATATGGTTCCCACACAGTCTGGTTCCCATCTTTATCGGGGAATAAAATGATCGAACCGTTTTGCTGAGAGGCTGTGTCAACACGAGCAGCCAATACCACCTCACAGCCTTAAGTGTGTCTGCTTCATGTCAATAATACTGGTCGGACAGGGAATGAAACACCTCCGCCCCGACGCGAGATAAGAGGACGGAAGCACCGGGGCTTAGCTGGCTAAGCGTCGGCTAAACGGACTATCCCTTCCCGACCAGGGAGGGCAGGGAGCCTGCGTGGAGCTAGCCGGGGCTATCGTCAATGACCATATGGTTTGTCAGAATTTACCTCGTAGGCCACAGGAAACGAAAAAAACCACCGTAGCACCCTGAACACAACACGATCCCACTTTAAATGGCCTCAACCTGCATTTTACATCCACAGCGGCTGGTGAACAGTCTGCTTCGTGTTAGCTGCGGGGAAAACTGGAAAACGCAAGGTGCCATGGTGCCATGGTTATCCAGCTCTGCTCACCTCAATTAAAGACCGAGCGACGGCTTCAGTAGACGGAAGCGACACAAATGAAAACAATGCAATCCTTAGAAATGCGTGTTATTAAGCTAGCACCGCTACCTTTAATGCTAGCGCGGCGCCCCGTTACCAGTATTTAAAACCCAGCTAGCTAAGCATCCCAGCTATGTCAAATGAAGGTTACTCTTCCTTATTTACGGCTAAATTCTCAGTCTAGATACAGGAACTCCGGAGCGATGCATTACGGACAGGTCCTGTGTTGCTCCTGCTGCAGATGATTCCGCCCCGCAGTGAGAAATAAGCGCAGTTTTTACCCTGAAATGTGCTTTAGCTCTGGTCCTCCTTCCTTCTGCGGCTATCGCTCCACTCGGCTCTGCACCTGCACCAGCTCCTGAGTGACAGCCCCGGGGCGCGAGGATGAGTGACAGGACCGCCGACCAATCACAGAAGAGAGGCCGCTCATTGGTACCACACAACACCTGACCCCACCCACTCTATGTTCAGAGCTCTTTATACAGTCTATGGTTCAGAGGCAGAAATTCTGTATTATTGAATAATCATGAACCTTATAATAATAATAATAATAATAATAATAATAATAATGACACTGATAACAATAATGATACTGATAATAATTACATTAATGATACTGATAATAATAACAATAATGATAATAATAATAATAATAATAATAATAATAAGCAATTACTGCTTACTTTTTAAATAAAAAATGTAGCCTTCAAAATATTTAAAGTGTTCAGCCGGCCACAAACTGAGATTTTGATATAGTTTGCAAAATACAGAAATGACCATCAAGCATTTATTATATCAAATACAAAAAATGGTTTGTTGTTCTCTTTTAACTTTTATTGTTATATATCAATTCATATGTCATCTCTATCAGACATCTTTAAATGCTGTACTGTTATTTTGTTGATGTGCTCAGCTACACGTGGCATCTATTGCACTTCTTTCCGTCCTGGGTGAGGGATCCCTCACATGTCTCTCTCTGAGGTTTCTACTATTACATTATTCTTTATTATTGTCACTTTAGAGCTAGATTTTCACATAATTTCCTTCAGGATTAATACAATTCTATCCTATCAGGATGATGCCACTTATGCATAGGTTTAACTCTCATGAATACACCTTGTAAAAGAGAAGAAGACAGCAAAGAGTGAAAACCTTTTCCTTTATTGGCAAGGCATACAGTTCTAGTTGGAGAGAGGGGGAACCCACCCACAGTTAAACAGCAGAGTTTGGATTGTCAAAGCTGCAGTCTTGGTTCACAACCCATATTCATAACATCTCTGGGAAAAGAAATACTGATCTAGGATGACCGTTGAGGCTGTATGACTAAATTATCTTCACTATGAATCAAAGACGTTTTTGATCGGCACATTTACTGTACGATCCTTTATGAATACATAATCTGAGTAGATCAGTGGAAACAGAGAATGAGAAGGAAAAGATCTGTCTTCCGAGATGTTTCAGAAAACCAAGACGGAAATCTGTCACTCAACTATTTTTATAACAAGAAAAACATGAAAGAGATCATTTTTGCTTATGAATAATGTTAGTCGCAAAGATAGAGAAATTAAACGAGGAGGGAAAAAGCTGAGTAATAGTTGAAATCTGTCCTGTTTGACTTTCTCACGCATCAAGCTACAACTGCGCGCTAAACCTCAGACTAACAAAAAGTCTACTGCTGCTTGTTTCTGACAGATAATATAGAAATAATAAATAAACTGTACATGAAGCACTGTGAGGAAAATGTACAAAATCAAAACAATTAGTGACACACAGAGAGATAGACTGAATCTTTGCATGTTGTGCTGGTTACGCTTCTGTTAAATAGTCCTTAATGTTGAAGGCATCCTTGAGTTCCTACAGAAGGGATTGCACGTGTTTTATCCTCCAGCATGTCAGTGAACACATCTACAACCAAAACCCAAAATAAGGCGACTAAAGAAAAAAAAGTTCAGCTCATTCACACATTAAAACATGAGTTTTTCTGTTTCACGGTAATAAAATAAAATAAAGTTTCTCCACAGGCAAGTTTTGTGTGTTTACTCTTCACTGTCTAAGAATCCTGCAGCCGATGTCATGCATTTCAACAGAAAACCCTGTTTTTGTGCAGTCAGTTATAAAAAGAGCAAAAAAACAACTTCAGTCCCTCCAACATCCAACCTTTAAGAGCTGTAGTGGTCCAGCCCGTGCAGTTCAACTCGATCACCAGGCCTTTTGCCGACAGAAAAAACTGTGAAACAGTCACAATATACATGTTCAACTGTACTGGAAGTGCAGAACTGTAAAAGTACCATACAAAGTGCTTTGGTTTTTTTTTCTCTCTCTCTAAGTAAATACATCAAAAAAATTCAACCAAGTCATTCACACACACACAAACACACATCACTGTTTAAGACAACATCAGTTTCAGTTACTGTTTGAACAGGAGTTAAAAAAAAAGGACCAGAGACAGTAGGGTCAGATTGGCACACGGGGTGCTACAATCAACCAACTTTATCAGTCACTGATGGAAAGTAGCCAGTGGCAAAATGGAAATTACAGTACGGGTTGTATCATGCTTGCTTGGCACTTGTTTTGTCATTGACTATGTCCTTGTGAAGAGCAAAATATTGATCAATGAGAGGAAAAAAAAGATTAGAAAAAAAGGTTCTGGCACAGGAAACTGTCTCTTGGTAACCTCCTGGGTTTTTTACAGTTTCAGTGATGCGAGCATCATTCTTTGCAACACTCACACATCTAATACATTGCCCTTATTAGTCTGGTACGTTATGCAAGTTACCAAAATCTGCATTTCAGTAGCTGTGTTTGACACATTGTGTAGTAACATTAATGGATTTGAATGGATAGTGTTCTTTGTATGAAGTTTGTGCTGGTTTGCTTTACAGTCAATGACAAACTGCTCCTTAGTCAACAGCCTCAGAAGTGTTTCGGCTCAAGCCCTGAAAAACCATAATGAGGGCTAGCAATGAATAAAACTGTAAAGTGCTACACTTGAAGGCAAACTGATAAAATGGGAGACAAATATTAAGAAAGCAACATTTCTGACTTTAAATTTTAAAAAAACATTAAAAAGCACAACAAAACCGAAACATGACTGATATTTTGGGTAGACCTACAGTTAAGTACATTTTGAATGGATTTTCCATGTAAGTCCATGGAAAACACCGCAAATTATTAGCCTCCAAAAGCCAGTTCAGTTCCACTTGTTGACACTGGGAGGCGCCAGATGCAAAGTCCACATTGCTTCAGACGTTATCCTGTGACTGTGATTCAGACTCTGGCTCAGTTTAGTTGCTGTCAATATCAGAGTTTAGGGTTATAAAAAAATGAAAAAATGAATCTGAAACAACTGAAAATCTCAAAATAATATGTACTGCTAGCCCAGTCGTCATAACCATATGCATGTTCTATAACGACTGCCAAACATAACTAATGAGCTTTTTAGCTTATAGGAGTGCTGTGTGTACAACAATAATAAAAACAACTCAAAATGTCTGCTACGTCTACAGTGTACGGCATAAAACCACGGAGAGCTCCTTTCTGATGTAACTTGCTCATGCTGCTTTGGAGCGCCTTGTACTGAACCTTCCTTTACTGCATTTCATGGTGTATGGACCGAAATAACAGAATAAACCAACAGAAAACCAAAAAGGCAGGTAAAGAGCATTGTCCCTGTAAGTTGCAAGTTTGGCAAGAGTCTTCCAAGACATTGTTTAAGTGTTTTCACAGTCATTCATCACTTCCTCACTTTCTTCATGAGTACTCCAAAAGAGGAAGACGGGTCAGCCGTTGGTAGTAGAAGACCTCAGGTTGGCTGGTAGAAAGGAAAGTATCTTTAAATAAACTTCTCATAGTTTCTTTAAGTCTGACTGAAAGACGCAGAACGCAAAGGACCTGTCAGAAACTTGGCTTCCTGTCCTCTCTGAGTCTATCTGTCTCTCTCCAGTGCAAGTGACTGCTGTGTAAAACTGCAGACTTTCTCTCAACACCTTAAAACACCTGCATGTACTGCTGTACTCCACACCCCCCGAGGCTGTCACCCTTTGTCCACGGAAATCAGCGGTGGAGGTGTTTGGTCGGAGTGGGAGAAGGGGGAGTGACAGAGGATGAGGCACCGAAATCAAGAAAAACAAACAAAAAAGGCCCAAAGAAAAACAAATGAGTTGTGCTATGTGCCGAGTCTGACAGGTGGTTCCCCAGAGATGCCTTCCTGGTCTGTTTCTCTTTCTTCTGCCATATCTTTATCAGATTCTAAAGAAAACGTCCTGTCTGAATCAGTGGTGAGCATTTTGGGGAACCGGCGAGACAATGCATCAAATCTGTTGCCAGAACCAGTTCTGGAAAGGGCAGAAGCCCTCCTGCGATCACAGCCGCTCTCCTCCTCAGGTGGACTCTCTGTGTCGGACTCCCCTTCTTCTTCCAAGGTTAACTCAAATTGGAACTTATCGATGGATGTGGAACCACCACTTAGTGCTGAAGCTTCTCCTGTGAGGTCCTCCTCCTCCTCCTCCTGGCCCTCTGAGTTGGGTGAAGGGCTGTGGGGAATTGTGCTCTGGTACCACTCTCTGTTATCCTCTAGAGTGTCCAGGATCTCCTGAGCATCTGGGTGGACGAGGTCAGCCCACGTTTCCCATAATGGATGAACTATGTAGTCAATGAAACCAACCTGGAGGAAACAGGGGAAAGTGGTAGGTTATAGGGATTTATCCTCATCCTTAACACTATAATGATTTACAATAGGTGCTATAAATTAATACTGTGGTTTGTCTACTGTACCTGGTTCTTTTCTATGGAGGCATTGTGTTTGTCACACATGGGGCTGATCTCCATGCCCTTGTCCCTCTCCCTGTCCCCCTGGGTGAAGAACTCCACCATGATGCGGTCCGTCCACTGTCGGTACAACTCAAGAGGCTTGGTGGGGTTACTCAGGTCTGCACAGTGCACCATGTTCTGAAGAACCTGCGGTGAACAGTGTGTGGCTGTCAGATGAAGAAGCACTTTTACAGAAGATTATTCCTATTTACTGATTTTGTTTTTGTATGAACAGAAACACGGTTCTGACCTGTATGCGGTCTGAATAATTGTCCAGGAGCAGGACTCCGAGACTGGTGACTTTCTTCGTCTCCACCATAGTTTTCAGGTCTGCTAGTAGGTTCATGTGTTTAGACATATCTGTCGCAAGCACCTGCGGAAATATCAGTCAGATTGAATAATTAGAATTCACAGTT